GGGGGGTGATCAGTAACTCAATTTATATAAACTTAAGGCCAGAGTGGGCCTTAATATCCCTTGTCAGAATACACATAGAATGGCTCAAGGTAAAAAGAGGTTGTTCTCATTAAAACAAGGGTGCTGCTGAAAGCAAACAGCACAAGACAGGGGCGCAGTGCTGACAATAGCAGCGTCAGACCCTGTAGGCGACACAGCGCAGGTCAGAGTAGACGAACCCAGTAGGCCAAAGCCGTTAGTTGAACAGGGCCGTAGCAAAACACCGGTAAACAAAACAGCAGCGTCCTTGAACGTGAGCCGAGTTAGCTGTAGCCGCTTTCTGGCGGCGTTCCGCTCGAACCCAACCAAAAGTCCCCTGTGATACGGGATGACATAGAATTAATAGAATAATAATTAACACCAATGTATATAAACTAACAGAATAAAGTCACCTTACCGATCAGGCAATATTCGTCGGCTCCAGAAGGGGGGAGGAGGGCATGTAGCGTAGCTACCGGCAGCTATATAAGCAAGACACGGTCACTAACAGAACACCATAGTACAATCACATCAGGACCCAATTCAGACTCACCGACAGATCCGCAGGTGAATCACCTGCAGCTACAGGTGATTCAGCTACAGGTGATTCAGCTACAGGTGATTCAGCTACAGGTGATTCACCTACAGGTGATTCACCTACAGGTGATTCACCTGTAGCTACAGGGCGAGGGGAGCCCCAGAGATAGTCTACAAAACAATGAAAGCCAATATAACACCAGAACAGTGTGACCGGGAGAAACAATGCTGCCGCATTCTTGCATACCTGCACAGCGGCGGATGTCCGGCAGACCGGAAGCGGGACACGCGTTTGACGTCAGGAGGGAGCTAAGGGAATCCCCGTCGCATTTATATGATGCACGCCCACCGTGATTGGCTACTGTTGGCCTTGTAATTAAAAGGGACTCCGAGGCCCTGCGAATGGTAAAAGCTCCCTTCTGCTACATAAGTTAAGGTTTAACTTAACATAAGTTAAGGTTTGAATTAACCTAAGTGTAGTGACCGTAAGTGTAGTGTAGTAACGAAGTCCAGTTTCCAATATAGGCATTTTATTTCTCACATAATCAGAGTTCCACTACTTTCTATTCAGTTATCCATTTTCTCCATAAACCAATAAATCATAACATTTACATTCGTTAAATGTGCACGGTCAAAAACTGTTTGCTTCTACCTATTAGCAACAACCTGTCCAATGACCCCACTGATTATATTACCTGTGGCCTGATTCACACCGGCACTACGCCCCCATGTGGTGGGAGGTTGTACAAAAACAAAAACAACGAAATGGCTCCAACACTAAGTTAAGGTTTAAGTTAACTTAAGTTAAGGTCTGAATTAACCAAAGTCAGGGGTCGGCAACCTTTTCTATCCAAAGAGCCATTTTGCCCTATTTTCCACCAAATAAAATTTGTCTGGAGCCACAAAAGCTATTTGATATCACAGCTTATAAAGTTGTATATATAGTTATATTATATATACAAAAACTACAACTATAGAACAAGAATAAAGACAATTCTTGACATTTTTTTGCAATTTTACCTGATATAACAATATCAAACTCTTATCAAGAGTTTTCTGCAGCAGCTGAGAAATCGCTTTGTCGCTCATCTCCAGAGTGACACTTCAGCACATGCTGTGTGCTTGTTGTGGAAGCATACAGTAAGTCAGCATCGTTGGCAGTGAAATCAAATGAATACGTCCACGCAGAGTTAAACTCTCTATTTTCCTCCGTGACTTTTCTTTTTTTGGGTTTATCCATTGATAGTTTACAGAGGGCGGGGGTCTGAAAATCATGATTAGCCACCTGCAGGGAAAAGCTCTTGACAGGGGTAGAGGATTTAACTGCCTGTGGGAATAATTAACATATAAGATTCTCTTCATTCTTGCTTATAAATTATATTCTCTCTGAACACGTTTCTCTTTTTGGAGAACGTCATGTGAGATAACTTCTTCGATTAGCACAATTCTCCTGCTCTTCTTTCTATTTCCTCGTCTCAGCCCCGTGTGTCACGGTGTGTGTAAACCTCGCTGGAGTCAGGAAACTTATCAGAATACCCATATTTGATTGGCTGAGCTGCATCACGTGATGTGATTTGCAATGCATTGGTCGGTGTGTTTCCTGCACCGCCGAACAAGTGCCATAACGGCTGAATAAGATGCGCCGGTTAAAGTTTAAACTCGGTGCCAATATGTATAATTCCAAATTATCTATTGGTTTTTAGTTCCGGTACCTGAGGTCCACCAGTTGGGGACCTCAGGGAGCCACAACAGAGAGGCTAAAGAGCCGCATGCGGCTCGGGAGCCGCAGGTTGCCGACCCCTGACCTAAGTTAAGGTTTAAGTTAACTTAAGTTAAGGTTTAAGTTGACTGAAGTAAAGATATGAATTAACTTAAGTTAAGGTTTGAATTAACCTAAGTTAAGGTTTGTGTAGCGGCAATCTTCCCTCCGTCCGATAGTCCGCATTACCACTACTGTTACAGTCTGGGTTTGGCAATAAGCTTGGCGTGTAATGAATCTTCGTAGGCAGTAGCTTCATTTAAAAAGGTTTACTTAACAAAATATAGTTACAAGATACATTCTTTGCTCAACTTGTCACAGCGTTAGCACAACGGTCAAAAAACTATGTTGCTCTGCAGACTGAATAACCTCAACTGAGAGCTGTTGGCTGTGACGTAGTCAGTAATGCAACTAAAGGAGCATTTCCACGTTTGTTACACAAATCACTTAAGACATCTTATCAAGTCTCATATGGCTTACAGTTTGAATTAACCTAAGTTAAGGTTTGAATTTACAGTTTGAATTAACCTAAGGTTTGAATTAACTTAAGTTAAGGTTTAAGTTAACTGAAGTTAAGGTTTAAGTAAACCTAACTTTTCACCCAGAGGCTCCAGAATATGAGAAACAGAACAAAACCTTTTTTTTTTTTTTTTTTTTCAAAGAGCTTTTAATGAAAAGCTTTGTAACAATAAACACAGAAAGCAACGACACAGAATTCATAATGTGTACAATAAGGGTTTGAATAAAACATGCTTCAGAAGATACATTATGACATCATCGTCCTCATTACCGTCTACACATCGTACATTATTCATATCACACAACTGCAGTCCTGACACATTAAAAACTTGTCGGAGTCAAACCCATATTGCACTAATAATAAAAACAATGCATTCACATCAACAATATTATGCATATCTTTAAAACAAAGTATTAAAGTACAGTACAAAGGAGATAAAAACACATTAAGCTTCTTTATCCACACATTTAAACAAGGATCCTTCTTTAATTCACACAAACACTTAAATGACATCAAGATATGAACTTTAAAAAGTCTAAATAATAAAATCAGGAGCCCTGTTTGGTTGAACAAGAACAAGTTGAAGTTGTGAGAAGGAAAGAAAAGCAGCCTAATAAGAACTCACATCTACCAACTGTAAGAGTCACTTCTACCCACCACGGAAAGATATTAAAGACAAAGAAACATATCCCATAAACCTCCAGGAATCCATCCGGAGAACACGTTAAACAACAGGTTGAAGTTCCTTCATCTGACGGACGTGTTGGAATAAATCCGATGAGAGTATTTCTAACAGTACCGACAACTAGAACCATCCAGGACATCAGAGAGCCTTTCTAAGGTTATTACAGTTTGATGTATCCGAAGTATTATTTTTGTAAAATTATTTTAAAGCATGTAAGAGATCGTAGACCGTCTGTGTTCACCCATTTAGAGTCAAACAGACCATAAAGCAGGGGATGCTTTAGGGCGGGGCTACACGGTGATTGACAGGTCTCTACCAGAGACGTATACGGCGTCTCTACGTCACTCCTCAGTCCACATATGGTCACTTCCTGTTCACTGGTTGATAAAAAAACAAGATGGCGACGGTCAAACCGCCGAACTGTCTGATGCAATACGTGAAAATCAATGTTGTTCCAATTCATTCACAGATTTAACTCAGTGAAAGTGGGAAATAACATTAATATATCATTTCATGGCAGAGATACTGAAACCCGTCATCCATGAAGAGCTGAAGACTATTTAATCCATCAGCATGAGTAACAGATAGTGGTGCAACGGATCCAATACTTGTCATTATTATCTTTAATGAAGTATAATAATGTGTTTAGATCTCGTGTTAGGAAGTTAAACAGCTCATAGTTCATCTCTAATATCTATTTTATATTCATAAACATCTCCTTCAAACTACTGGATTTATTCAAGTTTATCACCAAAACTACATTTTACAGATGACATGTGAACACATCATGATAACGTTACAATGTACCTTCAGCCAGTACTCATGTTCACTGAGCAGAGCCTGAAGGCATCATCATGTAACTGAAGTGAACCTCCGTTGGTTAGCCGCTAGCGGTGCTGCTAACGTTACTAGCTCTCCTGCTGTTGGTTAGCCGTTAGCGGTGCTGCTAACG